AGCAAAGAAAACTCAGCAGAGACTGTTTTTGGGGTAAGACTGAATTACTTTCCCAAAAACCCTTGGAGACCCCTCTTAGAAGGAAGGGGTGGACTTCCATTTGAAGGGAGTCCGGAAATGCAGCAGCACCGGAGAGAGGAGCTGAGAAGCTCAGAGATGTCCTGTGAGCTGGACCAGGATGGAATGCAGGGGAAGGGGCCTTTTCCCCCCTGCAATGTTGGCAGTTTGAGATGGAGCAAAGGAGCTCTGTCAGAACGCTGGGGGCAAAGACTGAACTGAGAGCGGCCCTAAACGTTCTGACTCAGGAGGAACTTGAATCCGCTCAGGAAGGGACTTTCACCAAGATGCCCTGCACTTCGTGATATGACCGTGGTGAAGCGAGTTTTTGTCCCTGCTGGCAGTCCATGGGCAAGACCTTCGGTTGGAGCCGAAGGGCTGAGAGGGGTGAGAGAAAACCCCTATACTGTGATGAAGAGACAAATTTTCCAGCTACGACAAATCCAGCTACGACTGCTGCCTAGAAGAGGAGAGACACTGCTGCCCTGGAAGTGGGAAGGATCTTTCCATCTTCCCTTCTGAACTTTTATTGGAGGGAAAAGGAGGGACTTAATCCAATGTAAATATTAATTGACCATAGGAGAAATACTTAGAATTGTGTATATAACGGATTATAGTATTTATTTAAATAATAAATTGCAAGATAATTCCTTTCCCCTGATACTGAGTCTTGTCTTATGTCTGGAAAACCCTCTAACACTGAAACAAATTGTGGGAAGGGGGCTTGGACTTGAAAATTGGACGACACCATGGAACTGTAACTCTTGGGGTTGCCCTGACCCTGAGCAGCACTGAGGGGGATGTCAGCAGCCTCAAGGATTCCAGATCAGACTCATATCCCCCTGAGCACCTCTCCAGGTAGGAAGGCAAAACAGCTGAGGATGAGCTGATGCTTGAGCTCAAGAATAATCTGCACAAGGCTAAAAGCATCATGACTGTGAAAAGCATCGTCTCACGCCAGCCCCAGCCTGTCAGGGAGAAGAATGTGGAGGAAAAGTCAATCACAGTCTGAGAACGAAAGCAGAAGGGCTCCCATTTGAACTGGCAGGCATTAAACCCCTGGGATGRAGCTGGTGGGTTAAACCCCACTGAGGATGNCCCCAAGCCCCAAATCCACCCTGTCCTGGTGGCAGCTCATCCTTCCCTCTCCCACAAGAGCCTGTCCCCCCAGAAAGCAGAGGCCTGTTGGCAGTAGCGGGTTTATTCTCCGATTTTCTCTCCCGGGAGCAGGGCCGAGGGCCGGGGGCGGGAGGGGGATCCATCCCGGGGCTCAGACGATGCAGTTCCCCTCTCCGTAGCGCCGGCACTTCATCACCTTCAGGTAGGTCTCCACCTTGTGCAGGTCCTTCTTGAAGCAGGACAGGAGGCCGTAGTTCTTGAGCAGCGCGTCCTCGCCGCGCGGGTGGACGTCGAACTTCTCGTAGGCGGGTTTGAGGATCTGGGGCCCCCGCGGGCTCCGGTCCTCCAGCTCCTGGGGGAGGATGGAGCAGGGCTGGGGATGAGCATCCACCAAGCTGAGCTTTGGGAGAGGTCAGAGGGGGTTTTCCCCCGTGGTGGTGCTTCCCCAGGCCGCTTTACGGCTCATTGAGCCTTGATGGACCTGAGAAGTGGTCACAGACCCAAGCCTGACAGAGCTCGAGAGTTTGGGCGATACTCTCAGGCACAGGGTGTGACTCTTGGGGATGGTCCTGCACAGGGCCAGGAGTTGGGCTCGATGATCCCTGTGGGTCCCTGTGGGCTCAGCATATTCTGTGATTCTGTGACCTGGGCCGAGCTCCTCTTGACCTTATCAGAAACACTCTGTGCTCGCAGGAGCTGGTGCTGTCTGCCAAGCTCCTGCTTTTTTTTACCAAACAGCCTTGGAAACTTATTTTTTCCCCTGAACAACAACCCAAGTGGAATCATATTTTTGTTCTCAAACTTTCAAAGAAAGTCACTGGCCTGAATTGTGGTGAGGGTGGGCAATTCCTGTGGCTAAAGGCCCCTCTGTGTGGGCCCTATAACCAGCAGTGCTGAGTGAGACCCTTTGAGCTCTCCTGTGACCAGTGACCTCCCTGTGCTGGGGCCTCTCAGAGCCCCCAGCTCTCCCATTTGCTGCACTTGGAGGATCCCAATCCACGGGGCTGATCCCCCCACTCCTCAAGGCTCAGCCCTTCTCCAGCTGAGAAAGTCCAAAGGCATCCCAAGGGAGGATTTCCCTGAATCCCAGGGGAATTGTTCACAGGTACCTTGTCCCGACACTTTATGTCTGTGTGCATATGCCATAGAAAATGTCCTTTAGATTTGTGAGTTAGTACTGTGAGTTACTGTTGTGGTGTAGTAAATCCTGTATGAACCCTTAGCTAAATTGTTTACCTTCAGTTATGGTTTAAGTTAAATGCTGTTAAGTGCTGTTGCGCCTTTAAGCTGTATTTCTTTTCATCCTTACCCCGTCCTACCCTTTGCTCCCCCCACCCCCAAGTCCTCCACATAGATAGTTTTGGGTTTGTTTTGATTTGGATTGATTGATTTTGGATTTTTGTCTGCTTTTCCTCAGTGTGCTTTAACCATTTACTAAGGGGTAGAGTGAACCTTGACAACGAACTTTGTTGTGCTGTCCTTGAGAGCCGAGTGCCCCGTGCCCAGGAATTCTCTTACTCTACAGTCATGCCATGTGCTGTGACTTACCCTCATCAGAGCTTGGATCCCTTCTTCCAGGTCCTTTAGTTTTTCATACACTCTGTCTGAGGTGCCAAGAACCAGGTTGTTTGTGAACACCTTGCTTAGATACTGCACCGGGGTCAGCCAGGACTGGATGAGAACCAGGGAAAAACGGAGCAGCTCCATGTCCTGAAATTAGGACAACAAAGGGTAAAAGCTGTGTGGGGGGTGTTTGGTAGAGTGTCCTGCTCCCTCTGGGACAGCCTGGAGTGACCCAGAGATGTGTCACTGCTCCTGCAGCTTCAGCAGACAAGTTTTCAGCCTGAGAAGCACCACCCAGACCCAGGTGCTGTGCAGACAATGCTTGAGATGAGAATATGGTTTATAATGTAACCCAGAGGAGTCCTCCTTTCTTCATGCAGGGTTTAAATAGTGAAAAAGGGAGAGGAGGGAGGAAGCACCAAAGTCCTCACAGATGGAAACCCTCTGTTCCTGCCATGAGGACTCTTCAGACAGGTCTGTGCTTGCCCTGTGGGAGAGAACTTACCGATTTCTGCTGGGCGTCGTCCTTCCCCGTGGGAGCAGGGATGGTCTCTGAGTAGCAATATGCCACCTGGGAATTTTTGTTGGTGTGTCTTTGGTCCTCTGGAATATAGCTGCGTTCCTGCAGAGACATCCCAGATACACTCAGATCTGTCACCTGTGTGCTGGAGGAGACCACAGACACTTCCCAAGCTGTCCTGCATGGTTACTCATTGCAAAGAATAAATGTGAAACACGAGGTACCTCTGGACAGGGTGGGAAACAGGAGTTTGTGTGTTGGCACAACAGTTACTGGCCCTAAAGGTCTTCCTCTCATGAAGGAAAGGTGCTGAGGTGAACTCAGAACACACCTGGTACTCCCAGGGAGCAGGTGATCCCCGAGGAAAGCTCTTGCCAAAGGGACATCTCAGGCCAGCGCCTGGCAGCAGCAGACACTGGGTGGTTTTAAGCACTCAGGCTCTCCCAGGGCCAAAGGTGATGGACATGGGGAAATCTTGCAAAATATCAGTGCCACCTCCCAGCTTATCCTGAGCAATGGGTCTTGACATGGGTAGAAACGTCCCTGAGGAGGGGGTCAGAGATGGGACAGGGAGCTGAGAGGAGGAGAGAGTCTCCAGGCTGATGGGAGAGAGCACAAGGATGGAATGGCAGTCTCCCTTCAATATTAAATAGTAAAA